CAGCTCCAGGTTGAGCTGTTGTTCAGCATCTTAGCTGTGGAGGGCAGTGTCACTGGCCCTCATATGTGGGATCCAAACCAGGGCCCTCTGGCATCCTAAACCAGTTCTTAACCATCGCGCCATTCAGCCGGCCCCATGTATACACATTTTAAGAAAGGAAAAGTGTATTAAAATGTAATACTCACTATACACTGATAACAAAAGATGAATACAAGACACATGTGACTGCTGCAATTACCAGAGGTGCTCAAAGTGGTTACCATCAGCGTTCAGACACTTCTGATTAGGGCGAACTACTGTCTTGAGCAACGTTGACCAAAGTGTCCACTTGTATACATTTTTTTGGCATCCCTGGTATATATAACAAAAATTTACCATTTTAATCATTATTATTTTTTAATATATTTTTTCAATTACAGTTGACATTCAATATTATATTAGTTTCAGGGGTACAGCCTAGTGGTTAGACATTTATATAACTTGCAAAGTAATTCCCCCCGATAAGTCTTGCACCCGCCTAATACCATATATACTTATTATTAACTATATTTCCTAAGGTGTAATTTACATCCCCATGACTATTTTGTAACTGCCAATTTGTACTCCTTAATCCCTTCACCTTTTCACCCTGTCCCCCACCCCATCTCACCTGGCAACCATCAGTTTGTTCTCTGTAGCTGTTTGTTGCTCTTTTGTTTGTTCACTTCGTTTTTTAGATTCCACATATAACTGAGATCATATGGTATTTGTCTTTCTCTATCTGACTTATTTCACTTAGCATTATACCCTCTAGGACCATCCAATTTGTCACAAATTATAAGATTTTTTTTTATAGCTGAGTAATAGTCCCTTGTATATATGTACCACTTACTCTTTATATAGTCATCTATCAATGGATACTTAGATTACTTCCATATCTTCGCTATTGTAAATAATGCTGCAGTGAACATAGGGGTGCACATATCTTTTCAAATTAGTGTTTTAGATATCTTCAGGTAAATACTTAGAAGTGGAATTGCTGGGTTATGTGGTAGTTCTAGTTTTAATTTTTTTGAGAAATCTCCGTACTGTTTTCCATAGTGGCTACACCAATTTGCAATCCCACTCACAGAGCATGAGGGTTCCCTATTTTTCACAACCTCACCAACACTTGTTTGTTGACTTATTGATGACAGCCCTTCTGACAGGTGTAAGGTGATATCTCATTGTTGTTTTAATTTGCATTTCTCTGAGGATTAGTGACTTTGAGTATCTTTTCATGTCTATTATCTATCTCCATGTCCTTTTTAGAGAAATGTCTGTTCAGCTCCTCTGTGAGTTTTTTAGTTCGAATGTTGTTTTTTGTGTTAAGTTGTATGAGTTATTTATATATCTTGTATATTAACTCCTTACTGGATAGGTTGTTGATAAATACCTTCTCCCATTCAGTAGATTATATTTTTATTTTGGTGTTGGTTTCCTTTGCTGTGCAAAAACTTCTTATTTTGATGTATTCCCATTTGTTTATATTTCCTTTTGTTTCCCTTGCCCAAGGAGACATATCCAAAAAAAATATTGCTAAGAGCAATGTCAGACAGTTTACTGCCTATATTTTTTCCTAGGAGTTTTATGGGTCTTACATTTAAGTCTTTAATCTATTGTGAGTTTATTTTTGTATATGGTGTCAGAACATGGCCCAGTTTTATGTTTTTACACATATCTTCAGTTTTTTCAACACAATTTATTGAAGAGATGTCTTTACTCCATTTTATATCTTGCAACTTTTGTCATAGATTAATTGACCATATTGGCGGGGGTTTATTTTCGAGCTCTCTATTCTGATCCACTGATCTCTGTGTCTGTTTTTATGCCATACCATGCTGTTTTGATTACTCTAACCTTGTAGTGTAATTTGATATAAAGTAGCATGACACCTCCAGCTTTGTTCTTCTTTCTCAAGATTGCTTTGGTTATTCAGGATCTTTTGTGGTTCCATATAAAATTTAGGATTATTTGTTCTAGTTCTGTGAAAAATGCCATAAGGATTGTACTGACCCTATAGATTGCTTTGGGTAGTATGAACATTTTAACTATATTAATTATTCCTATCCATGAACATGGTATATCCTTAAATTTATTTGTATCTTGTTTAATTTCTTTCTTCAGTGGCTTATAATTTTTTGAGTACAGGTTTATTACCTCCTTGTTTAAATTCATTCCTAGGTTGTTGTTTTTTATACAATTGTAA